CTCAAAAGCAAAGCAAAACAACAACAACAACCACAAAACACACACACACAGGGGTGGGGTGGGGGGCGGGAGACAGAGAGAGAGAGAAATGGAGGTTGGGATGACTTTACCCAAAGTGAGAGAGGTGGGGGGGGAGACGGAGACGGAGACAGAGACAGAGATATTGGGATGACTTTCCCTGAAGCAAGAAAGCAAAGACGATGGGAAAGGACACTATAGTCACACTGGGAAGTGAAGTCACAACAGAAAAAGAATAGACAAGAGCTTATTGCTGACCAGGGCTATGGTGAGAGTATACATGGTCAAATTATGAGAATAGCCTAGAGCCTATATCCTAGGTGACTTTCGGGTGACATGACACATCTTCACATAATCATTAGTGAGTAGTTAGATGGATTCACACTTTTCAACTGTAAGTATCTCTTTTAAAAACTAGAGTAATTATGGGCTGGAGAGATGGCTCAGTGGTTAAGAACACTGACTATTCTTGCAGAAGACCCGGGTTTGAAACGCAGCACCCACATGGCAGTTAACAACTGTCCATAACTCCAGTTCCAGGGAATCCGACAGCCTCGTCTGTCCTCCTTGGGCATTGCACAACATGGGTGCACTTACCTAAATGCAGGCAATACACATATACACTGCCGGTGCCAGTCGGCCAAAACGGACAGTACCTGAAAGGGGGAGTGAGGATTGAAAGAAATAAAGAAGACAGGAAAGACGCTTCTTGGGAGGGCTCACAGTGAATACTGCCAGCCTCCGTTTATTTCAGTTCTGTCTTTTTATACAGAAGAACTCAATTAGTTACAATTGCTGTATTTCCCCACCTATATCTGAGGGTCAGGGAGCAGTCAGATCAAAGGCTTCTTGGATCCTTTTGTTTACCACTAATGCCTCAAGGTCAGGTATTGTGAGGCTCTCCAGAAAACTTCTTCCTCCTGAATGGGCAGGTTAAGTACTGGTTTGCATGACACAAACTCAGTAAATGAGGCTGCTGCAGCTCAATGATTAGCGGCTCCCGACAATACACATAAAATAAAAATAACAAAATATTTTTTAGAAAACTAGAGTAATTATTTCAGGATGAAAAAAATAGAAACTGTAAGAAAAAAAAAAAAAAGAAAGACCTTGTTCCAGGTCAATTCCAATTCAGTTCAAGTTAGTGTGGGGTTCAGCACCAATTTCCTCAGCAGAGACCATGGTCAGGAAATCCTGTGGGAACCCCACTGCATGCACCTTCCAGAGAGCAATGTACAGCCAGAGCTCTAGGACTACAAATCCCAAAGGTCATCTGACTGCCTAGTGGTTAATGGATGTTACCAGAGACCATAGCCTTGTGTCTGATCCTCCCTTCCCCTCCCTTCCAGCCCAGCCTCTGAGCTCTGAACAGCCTCTCTTGAGCCTCATCTCCCTGTCTTTACCAATTTATAACATGCTTGGGAAGCGACATCTGTGCCTACACAGATGGTACCTCCTTCAGCTCACACAGTCAACACTTGAGAGGGAGCTGGAGAGATGCCTCAGAGGTCAAGAGCACTGGCTGCTCCTTCAGAGGAGCCAGATTCAATTCCCAGCATGGTAGCTAACAACTGTAACTCCAGTTCCAGGGGATCTACCGCCCTCTTCTGGCCCTTTTAGGCATTGCCTGCAAAGGTGCACTTATGCACTTGGAGGCAAAACAATTCGATGCATATTTTAAAAAAAGAAACCAAAAGAGGTCAAAAGTAAGCCTTTGCATCTATGAACATTGGAAAGTGGTGAAGGCCTGGCCCTCACTTTGTTTCTGTGATTTTTCAGGACCTTTAAGACACCAAGCAAAGTAAGTTTAAGAGCGCTTGTGTTATGGAACATGGACAGACAGGCATTCAGTCTGCAAAAAGCAAGCATGTTGGCTGTATATGTGAAGCGCTAAAATCCTTACCACTTTGTCTTCCCAGGGTACTCCTGTTTGAAATAAAATCCGAGGTCCAAGGACTGCATCAATACTGCACAAAGACCTTGTGGAAAGTAACTTGGCAAGGCAGATTTTACTTTTGCAAATGGGGTGTTGGTGTGGTGACTCAGATCCAGTAAGCACACAGGAGCTGCAAGTATGGTAGGATTTTATTTGTAAGATAATGTGTCTTCTCCTCATTGGCCAGGGTCTGACCTCAGTCCTTCCTGGTTGCCTAGTTTAACAAATAGTCATAGCCAGGCACCGTGGTGCACGGCTTTAATCCTAGCACCTGGGAGGCAGAAGCAGGCAGATCTCTGTGAAATTGAGGCCAGCCTGGTCTACATAGCAAGTTCCAGGCCAGCTTGGGCTATAGGGAGACCCTGTCTCAAAAAGACACAAACAAAACATAAATAAATAAAATTTTCAAACGAGCATGAAGAGAGAAGAACTCCACTGCCCCAGGCCATCAGATTCTGGAATGCATCAGGACCTTTCTTTAAACAAAGTCTTACAGGGTGTGTATAGTGGGATTAAAAGATTAGAATTCCTTGTCATAAACCAAGTTCCAAGTTCTACAGTTTGAAAGGGAAGTCTAGGGGCTGGAGAGATGACTCAGTGGTTAAGAACAATTGTTGTTCTTCCAGAGGACCCAGACTTGATTCCCAGCCCCTACATGGAGGCTAACAACTGCCTGTAACTCTAGTTCCAGAGGATCCGACACCCTCTTATGGTCTCCACGGACACTGCATGACACAGGTACACTTAAACACGTGCTAGCAATACACTCATACACATAAAACAAAAGACTAATATTTAAAACAAACCAAAGACCAGGCATGATGACACACACCTTTAATCCCAGCACTTGGGAGTCAGGTGGATCTCTGGGAGTTCGAGGCCAGCCTGGCCTACATAGCAAGTTCTAGGCCAGCTGGGGCTACAGGGAGACCCTGTCTCACCCCCCCCCAAAAAGACTAATATTTAATGTTTCTTTCTTACACTCCAATAACTCTCCCCAGGATCTGAGTATTGTAATTAGAGTTGTCAGTCTACCCAATATTGGAGAAGACGTGGACATTCAAGATTTGGCCACTCCCTCTCAGTTGTACATGCATGTCTTTAATCTCAGCACTTGAGAGGCAGAGGCAGGTAGATCTCTGAGTTTGAGCCCAGCCTGGTCTACATACAGAGTTCCAGACCAGCCAGGGCTACATAGTGAAAACCTGTCTCACACCCCCTACACACACACACACACACACACACACACACACACACACACAAGCAAGCTTCTGTGCACAGTAGGAATTGTATACTGCATTACTCCATAATTAACAGTGTTAAGGCTTCAGTAGAATCATCAGGCAAATATCACAATTCTCCCCTGCCATTATGCAAGCCATTTCTACCGTTGAGTGGAATTCAGACCCAATTTCCTAGTGGAAATCAGTTGGCACATGTCTCCCCACCAGTCATCCAGCCTATGCCCCTTTACCTCCAGTCTGTATATAATTACTTTTTCTCAATGGAAATTCACATCCTCTTCTTCTTATCCATTGATTATTTTTTATGTGTATGAGTGTTTTGCCTGCATGTATGTTAACAATCCTCATAGATGCCAGAAGATGGTGACAGATCCCCTGGAACTGGAGGTACAGATGGTTGTGAGCTGTCATGTGGGTGCTGAGACCCAAACCCTGGTTCTCTGTAAGAGCAGTCAGTGCTCTTACCCATGGAGCCATCTCTCCAGCCCTTTGGAATAGATTAATAGAAAGCATTTGCCCATTGTTATCTGCTTGTTGATATTATTGCACTGTACAGTCTTCCTTTCCCAGTCATATTCAACTCCAGTTACTTATTGGCATTTACACTACACATTAAAAGGAAAGGAAAGGATGGTGAGATGGCGCAGCAAGTAAGCGTGCTTTCCCACAAGGCTCAGGACTCGAGCTTCACCCCAGAGATCCACAATGTGGAAGAAGAGAATTGACTCCCACAAGATGCCTTCTGCACCTCTCTCTGTCTCTCTGTCTCTGTCTCTCTCTCTCTCACACACACACACACACATCCCACATGCCATTTTTAAAATTCAAATTACTATTAAATATTCCCTTATATCATTTAAGGCCCCGTTTCCATATAACCTGCTCCGTCCTTGTTTGTATTTTTGAAGTGCCTGCAACTTCAGAGATTGAAGGTGAGCAGGAAGTGTGGTGGTAGAGAGGAAGGGGAAGCCTCTCTGGACCTTTGTGAGCTGAGGGTGTTTGTTTCACTCATACACATAAGAAATAAAAATAAACAAAAGGGTAAATTACTCCAAGGACAAATGAGAAAGAAGGGGAGAAATTTCCATAGACAAAAAGGAATTCTATGCAAAACAGAGGTAAATGGGCATAGGCTGGAACTACAGGCATAACTTGGAACCTGTCTTCTCACATGGGGCATACTCTTGAACTTTAAGCATTTATTGGCTGGGAACAGGGTTCATTGGATAAGCACTTGGTGTATAAGTCTGATCACCCGAGTTTAGATCCAAAGAATCCAGTAGTAGAAAGTCTGATCCAGTAACAAAGACACTTGTAATACCAGTGTCCCTATAGGGACATGAGGTAGACAGGAGAATCTCTGGGCTCTCCAGAGTCAGCTAGCCTGGTGCACATGTTACTGAATGAGAGACTTTGTCTCAAACAAGATGGAAGGTGGGGCAAGGCCCAACACCCAAAGCTGTCCACTTAATACCACCCACAAGCAAGGTACCCACTAACATACACATGCAAATGCATATAGGCAGAGACATCATGTGCAAAAGATAAACTTTCAATTACAGATACATTTATCTATTTACTTATAGAAAATAGTCACTTTCAGGCACTTTAGTAAACAAAATTGACCTAATCTTTAGCCTTGCATGCTAAGAGAACAGAATGATTGATGGAAATAATAACCAGAAAATTACAAGGCATGTCCTCAACAATTAAGTGCTATACAGAAGTCACATGCTTGTGTATGCACAGATGTCACATGGAGGCAGGAGCTCTGGATGCTTCTGCTGAGGGAGGATCACATTTCAGTCTCCCTTGTGGTAATTCCTCATGTGCCGATGGTACGTGGAGGATTGGCGGAAATTGGCATGGCACACGGAGCACCTGTAGGGCTTCTCTCCTGTGTGAATCCTCTGGTGAGCCACCAGGTTGGTCTTGTTGCTGAAGGTCTTCTCACACATGCTGCATTTAAAAGGCTTCTCCCCTGAGTGAATGACCTGATGAACTCGGAGTTCTGATTGTTGATAGAAACCTTTGTGACACTCCCCACAGAAAACTGTCCTCTCGTTCCTATGCCTCTTCTGGTGGGTTAAAAGGTAACAGCGATGCCTAAATAGCTGCTGACACTGCTCACATTTGTATGGCTTCTTTACCCTATGATGGGATATTTCTTGCTGCCTTTCACATAAGGAGTTTCTCTCATGATTCTTGTGCACAGGGTTAGGCCCAGAGGTTGACTGCTCTGGCCTGCAGGGAAACCCTGGTTGTACCTCCATAGAGACATCTTCATGAGAGGGTTCCTTTACGGACACTTCTTGGGACCTAGAGGTCCCTTGGCTTGCTACTGTGGCATCTTGAGGGTTTCCATAAGAAACACCTCCCTCTTCAGGCTCAGCAGAGTTCTCCTGGATAATGATGAGGGACTCTATCTGATTTCCTCGGCCTGGTAGTCTGTCATCCATTTCAGTAGTTTGCTCTTCGTCTTCATGACCTGAGGAAATAAGAAAACCTATGAAACACTGCCCAAGAAAGGATCCCAACACAACACCCCTCTGGTGTCCAGTTTCCCCTGACTCACCCATATCCAAGGGACCATCTTCGGGAGGCTGGAAGGGCCTTGCATGGTCTTCTGTTGACATTTTTGCTGACCTCTGTTCTTTCAAATGCATGATGACTTCTTTTAAGGGCATATGCTCAGGAAAGAGGGCTTCCTCTCCCTGCATGAAGACATGCACCTGAGAACAAAACCACGTGACCACTGGGTCTCAATCTGTTGTGTGTCAGAAACCCTGCCTCAACATGTTCATGGGATCCCTCAAGTACGGGTCAGCACGTCTCGTCCAGCCCAGGTCTCTAAAGGTGTCATCATCACTCACACCTTGTCATGTCCTCTAAAGTCACTGTAGACACTGAGTTAGCAAATGCTGAGTCATTGTCCCTGGGGATAATGTAAGGTTAGTTTTCTGTGAGCTTCTGGCCACAACATTTTTATCAATGCATAACCTTATTGCTTCTATTTATGTAGTATTGACCAGTTAACAGAATTTATGACCCACAGTGCTATAACTTATGCCTGAAGGAAAGAACCCCAATACATATACTGTCTCCATAAGATACAGGAACACAGGTCTGTACTTGGGAACATGCCTGGACAGTATGCCGACATGATACAAGGCTGTCAGTTTAAGGGGTGAAATTCCCAATGAAAAAGCTCCAAATGTGGAATGAAACAGTTGTTTAAAATATGAAAACTAAAACAAGAACAGGCGCATTTCTGACTGTGTGTGACCAGTGTGGTATTTTTCCCCACATTCACATGGGTCATTTCTGTAAATGACTAAGAATGTATCTTATGACCCAGAATTTTGCCAATTGATACATACACTGAAAAAGTATCCAGTGGAGCTGCATCTAATGCCAGTCTTTCTGGATTTGAAAAACTACATCGAAGAACCAAGCCTTGGCAAGGCATTTGTTCTTATGTGTGTGTTTGTGTGGGGGCATGCATATGGAGGCCAGATTTCAACATGAGATGTCTTTCTCTATGTCCTCCTCAGGATAGACAGGATCTCTTACTGAATTGGAGCTCAGCCTTTTTGTTACTTTGGAAAGCCAGAGAATCACTTGGCTCACCAGTTTCTCCAGCCTTCCACCCCCTCCCACCTGCCACCAAGTGCTGGAATTACAAGTGTGTGTTGCCATGCTGGATGTTTTTGTTTTGTTTTGCTTTTAAGACAGCGTCTCCCTGTAGCTCGGCTGGCCTGGAACTCACTATGTTGACCAGGCTGGCCTCAATCTCACAGCAATCTGTCTTCCTTTGACTCCTGAGTGCTGGAACCCAAAGGCACGTGCCAACACGCCTGGCTTCACATTAGATTTTTATGTGGATGCTGAGGTTCTGAACTCAGATCCCACACTCCAAAGCAAACACTTTACTGACTAAAACATCTCCCCAGGTTCAAGGCATTTTTCTTAACCCTTAAAGTTGAGCCCTTAAAGTTTTGGCTCAAATGTTAACTTCTCAATGTCTTTGCTACCATGTTAACCAGCTCCATCAAAAACTCACTGGGTACCTTTCCTTTGTGCCATCATAGAGCCAGGAACACTGTCCTTAGTGAGGATTTTGGTGGGGAGAGTACAATCTGACTGATAATGGAACCGACAGTATTTCCCTACTTCCTTGCAACTCCTACTGACTGTACTTCTTCTTCCTCCTTAACCCCCCCCACACCACATCAGACCCCCGTACTCACCCAGACAGGAGGCTTCAAGCAGTCATCAGTCAGGTCCTCCATGAACGTCTCCATGTTTCTGCCACTTGACTCCCACTTCTCTTTCAAGGCAGACCTGTCCTTGCAGCGTCCAGTGAGAACAAACTGCTCCATGATCAGCTGAGACATCATCTCCTCCTTGGTGTGCTTTTCCGGCTGCAACCAGGAGTTAAACCACTCACCGAGGCTCTGCAGCTCCTGCTTTGCACATGAGCCATTGCCATGTGGAGGTGAGTGGAGCTGAGCACTTGGAAGCTTAGAGAGCTCTCCTGACTGTGCAGTCAAATCCTCAGTTGGTTTAATGTCCAAGATGTTTAATTCAAGAGCATCTGAGGATGGTTCAGAGGGTTCAGGTTTTCTGAGATGGGAAGTCATTCTTGTCAAGAAGTCTCAGAAGAGTCAATTCAGACTCTGTTGCCTTTGGTTGGTATGTTTCAACAAGGGTGGTTTGTTAAACGCTGTAAGGTAGAAACACAATAGATATGTACATCTCATATTAAATAGAATACTGATAGATAAATAATTAAGGCTAAATTGAACTGGCTCAGCAAACTTCCCTAAGTTACTCCATTTTGTTCAGAGCCATTTCAGCAGCAACTTTACTCCACACCGAAAGGAAAAGGGGGGCAACCTTGGGCCTTGGAAAATTGCCCTCGCCATGAATCATGGAATGTGCTAATTCCAGATATTATATTTTTATTAACCAGCTTGTTTTTGCTTCTGTAACCTGCTTGCTGTCTACTGGCTCAGCAAACTTCCCTAAGTTACTCCATTTTGTTCAGAGCCATTTCAGCAGCAACTTTACTCCACACCGAAAGGAAAAGGGGGGCAACCTTGGGCCTTGGAAAATTGCCCTCGCCATGAATCATGGAATGTGCTAATTCCAGATATTATATTTTTATTAACCAGCTTGTTTTCGCTTCTGTAACCTGCTTGCTGTCTTGGGTCACCCTGACACAGGGCACAAGACCACCCTTGTTATCCTGTTATTGTATGACCACCTAGAAGTTATTTACCTTGACTGTCTTATTTTACTTGTTATGGCTAAAGCAGTTGGCTAGTTTTTAATGTCACAAAGTTGAGTGCCAAGTTATATGACTGTATCACTTATCTGTACAATGATTGGTTGTTAATAGAATCAAAATACTGCTATGTTGTACAAACCTGATTGGTTCACAAATGTCCTGTTTTAATAATAATTCTGTAATCCTATAAAAACTCTGACCTGACAATCACCAGGGCTGCTTCTACTCCCGAGATAGACAGCCCGGCCGGTCGAAAATTAAAATTTACCTTGCTATTTTTCTTAAAGTGGTGTTGGTGATTTTTTTAAGAACTCTGTCCTATAACAGTTGTTTGTTTGTTTGTTTGTTTGTTTGTTTGTTTGAGACGGGCTCTCACTATGTAACCCTGGCTGGCCTGGAACTCACTATGTCGACCAGAGATCCGCCCACCTCTGCTAAAATTCAAGGGATTAAAGGTATGTACCTGCACCACCATGCCTGGCTCATGCCTGTTTCTAAAGAGGAGCTTCCAAATTATACAAGCTCTCAACTTCTGAAAACCTGGATGTGAACCTGGGACACTTATCTAGTAAGATCCTTAACAGCAGTGTGGAGAAGCATTTATGTGATCAAAAAGAGAGAGAGGGACACAGCCACCTCACCAGGAGCCAGGATCAGGGAGATGAGCAAGCACTAGGGGGTGATTATTTGGCTCCCACAACACAGTATAAGGGGACAAATGATGAGGTTTAGGAGATGGAGTCCAGTGTGTAGCAGCGGGTCTTGGGAGGGGGTGAGTGGCAGCATCTCTATGACCTCAGTGTTTAGATCTGTTTAGACCCCAGAGCTCAAGATGCGTTCCTGGCATGACCTCCTGGTGCCCTCTTGGATTTAATGCCCTTATTCTGATTTTAAACAGCCCCAGCTCTGTGGCTTATATCAATATAGCACCTTATCTTTGTGGGTGCAGCTGTGGCTTTTTATGCTGGACCAGGCTGAAAAACAGCCCCTTTGATGGCAGCGCCACTCAATGGCCCCAGCACGTCAGCTCTCTTTAATGGAGCCATCATAGTCAGAACAAGTAAGATGTCCAGGCCTGACGTCAGTGGAATGGGGTAGGTACCCATCCTGCGTGGGGGGCACTGTCTTCACCTGATAATGTAGTCTGTAGCTACGGAGGAAGAAATAGGAACTTTAAAACAATCAATGCTAAGCCAAGGATAGGAAGTAGATATGAGCTACCATATGTTATACAGGAAAGCTCTGTCCTGTGTGGCCCCAGCCCTAGAAGTGCCACCATGCAGTCCCCTCCAGGACAGTCAGGATTGAGTGACTGGAGGTATTGGACTAGCACAGACCTGTCTTGAGAGTCACCATGATGGGCAGGAATGTGTCAGATGCCAACAAACAATTAGCTGAGCACTGTAGAGCAGTCAAAGGCACTGAGTGTCAGAAAACAAAGTTTTAGAACAGTGAATTCCTGGATGTCTGGGTGCTCTCAAGAAAGCAGGTCCTGGGAATGTGAGGACTGCGGCCAGCCAGAACCCGGAAGGGAGCCTGCCCAGCCTCAATAGAATGTCTTGGTGACTAAAAGGGAAAGTGTTCAGAAAGGTTTCAGAGTTGTTCTCAGTGCCCAGACAAGCCCATGGTTGCTTTTATCTCCTGGGACAGAGGCTGAGGGCCTAAAGCTGGAAAGGGAAATCTGCCCTGGACTTGACAGTAGCTTTATCACACTCTGGGCACGCTCACCATGGAAACTCCTTTTCAGTCTGCTCGTTCCCTGACAAAGGCCCCTCCTGGTGGTACCAAGGTTTCTGGCCTTGCCATGTCAGCTAGCTTCTATGGGACACATTTTATAGCGTTTTTAAATTCTGAGCTATATCTGTGACAAAACAGGGATGGGAAAAAAGGAAAAACCATGTCAGGTGTTTCTTGCTGTATAATCCTTCTTTTTGTGTGTGAGTGTGTGTGTGTGTGTGTGTGTGTGTGTGTGTGTGCTTGTTAAGGCCTGAGATTTCTGTTGGGCATCTTCCTTGATCACTCTCCACCTTATATATTGAGCCAAGGTCTCTCTCTGGAGCCCAGAACTTGCCATTTGTATTGGTCCTGCTTGCCAGTTTGCTTGAGAGATTTCCTGTCTTTGCCTTCTGAGTGCTGGGTTTACAGGTGGTTCTGCTTGCCTGCTGGTAGTGCCTGCCTGGCATTTAATGGGTGCAGGGGAGCTCAACTCTAGTTGTCATGCCCTCAAGGTTACCCTGGGAGCTGTCTCCCCCATCTCACTTCATTCCTTCTTAATGTCTAATAAAATTTTTTTACATCATGAAAGTGTATCGAAATGCTTTTTTTCCCATCTGTTTGAGATAATCTGCATTTTTTCCTTGGATGTTTAACAGACATACTTTGAGGCCTATACTAATTTGGACAGAGGGACATAAAGGACAGTTTTTGCTCCTTACCCTCCTAGGTCGATTAGTTCCAGGGGACTATGAGCATCTCCCAAAATATCCTGTAATTGTGGTGGGTCACCTGTCTTCTTGAGCAAGGAGGCTGAGGAGACTCCATGAGATGGACTAGAACCAGTGTCCGGTCTACAAAGAGGAGGGTCAGCACAGAGGAAATATTTCCTCCATGCTTCCAAGCGAAGCCCAGGTCGAGCAGGACCCCTTGACTTATCTTCATGTAGATGGAACTGGTAAAAGAAAGCCTAAGGAGCCAGGGGCTCCCTGAAAAGCCCACGTCACCCCTGAGGACCAGATCCTCAACCAACCTTAAAGTAAAAGTAAAATGGTTTATTTGGTCCAACTATATGGTCTTAAACACCAAAAAGGAAAGTATAACCAAAAATTAAAATAATAAGTATATTTCTTTAAGAGTCAAAAAATTGTATTTCTCAGACATTAGACTTAAGTCCAGGTAAAATGTTATTTAGACAATTATTTCTCAGTAATGATTTTGTTCTTAACAGAAAAATACTGCTCAGGTATAAGGCTTCAAATCTTGGTCTCCAATACTATAGTGCCTACCTACAGCTGCTATTGTTCTAAAATGATGACTAAGTTTATTTTACTTTCTATCTACTGATTCTAGCCACTCCAACAGCTATCAGAGTATCTGAAAACAAATCCTAAGTTCATCATTCTCAAGTCCAGTCTTGGCAGCTCAAAGAAAAAAGAACAAGCAATAGATGGATGCTTTGAAAGCCCTCATCAAAAAAAAATTCCAATGGACTTTAAGTGTTTCTTCTGGTTCCATGTCTAAAACTTGTAATGCTAATTATTCTTGCCTTTAATTGTCCTTCATGTCTCAATTTGAGAGTTTTTTTTTAGGCCCACTAAAGGGATACCCCAATTGCCACACTCTACGTCCCTGTTCAGCATGGAAGAAGCCAGAGCGGTCTGCGTCCCAATTCCCCATAGGCAAATTGGGTTACCTCTTCAAAAACAAAAACTAACACGTGAAGCAAAAAATACTATGGTTGCTGCAGGGCGACCTTTGACAAAAGAAAACATGTTTCTTGCAATTCTTACTGTGCTGACCGTACAAGCGTCAGTGGCTTCAGGAGAGATTTATTGGGCGTATGTACCTAACCTGCCTCTTTTGCATCCTATAGGATGAGGAGATGGATCACAAATTAAAATAATGACTACAATTCCCCCTGGTAATTACTATCTGGTGCCCCCTAATGGTACTTATTGGGCATGCAGCACGGGAACCTAAAAATGTACAGCCAATTTTGTAAGAGATGCATCCTTGCTCTGGAAACTGTTATTGAGTATGTTAAAGCTATAATGAAATGCTTTTTTTGGAAAAAAAAAAGCCAGATGTACTCCTTATGTAAAAGGAATTATTTCCTTTGGGATCTTGTTTGGGTAATCTCCACCCCTACTTCCCGCTTAGGGGAGGAAAACCTGGTAGAAATATCTAATTACAGCCTTTTACTGTCATTGCAGGCTCTGCAAAATGCTCTGAGCCAGGTACATGGACTAGTGCAGGAGGCTCATGAGCCCAGTCATCCCTCACTGACCACTGAACAGACAGATCTGGAACCTGGTGATTGGAGTTGAGTCCACAGACATCAAGTGCCTAACCTTGAACCCAAGTGGCTGGTCCATATCCGATGCATTGTATCAGACATTAAAAAAATCTTTCTAATCTTATAGTTTTTTTGCTAAAGAATGGAAGAAATCTTACCTTCTGTCGTTAAAGAAATCAGTGGCTGATAACAAAAGCTTATATTAAAATAAACCTTAGAAAAGCATTTAAATATCGAATTCAACCCTACAAAGGGAGAATATGAATAAGATTTAGAAATATATATTTAAAGTATTTTTCAGTATGTATTTTTATTTATTTTGTGCATTTCATATAATA